TTGAGGTCTCATATTAAAGTGGAAAGGCGTATCTTTCAAACCAGACCTATATTATTGATGTTGGTTACTCATCCTACGTCCGGCATTCCGCTGTATTTTGTTTACATTTTTTTGATACACACTGTATAAAGGGCATGGACATAAGATTTTTGTAATGAAGGCAATCTTTTCCTTTCAAAAATGATGTTCAATCTTGAGGAAAGCGGAAATTAAGTGACACGCTATTAGCCAGTCGTCACCTATCATCAAGATACAATGCAATTATAACAGCATACAATTAGGCCTAACACAAAATGAACACACTAGAAACAATTGTGAGATTATTATTTTATTTTTCTTTATTTCTCTCAGCCAAAAGCGAATAACCGCCAATTACAGGCCGAGTAAAAAAGTTAAACAAATATTACAATATATATTAAAGATAAAATTACAATAAATATATATCAATAAAATACATATCTAGAAATCTAAAAACAAAAAGTAGTTCACAATTAACCAATGTATTTTGAGAAATGGAACCAGAATTAAATCCATACATTTTCCAGATATTTTTTTCGAGTTGTACTGGGTGATTTTTTTTGCGAGTTGTACTGAGTGAACATCACGGATGAATCTTATTCCTCCATGACTGCAGATATAATTGAAAAACAGGTAAATAAACATTATCTACTCTTTAGTAATTTTATTTTAAATTATCTTTCAATTAAAAGAACTTCGTAAACAAAGTCCAATTTTCAAGTTTTTTGCTTCTGCAACACAAAGACTAATCCGAGTACAGTCTGACACCTTTATAACAAGGTCCTTGGGACTTTACGAATTACCTTGTTATAACAGGTACCTTGTATTAACAGTAATGGACAACAAAGGAAAACAAAGAAAAACAAAACAAAGGTCCGACACCTCATAAGTCCGACGCCTCATAATTCCGGAATGTTGGATTTATGAGGCGTCGGACCTGTGAGGCATAGGACTTATGAGCGGACCCCTTCTCCACGCAGCCCTTCTCCGGTAGAACGCAGTCTAGCTAGTTACATAATTAATCGCCGAATCTGTTTACGTATACATGTCATAAATAAATAGACCATGGTAAGCTTCGCCAGGGCCAGCCTATCATCTGACAGTTGCGTTACATCGAAATAAAATGTCACAAGATTCTTCGTTTCCATATTTCATTTTTCTTGTCTTCATTTCCGACAGATATAATCCCAAATACAGTTGCTTAGGAATTCACGACCCCCTTTCAATGTAAGTTAAAATAAGTTATTCCTTCATCTTTTGGCAGTTTTTAAAACTGATCTTTGTCACACAAATCTTGGCACCAAAACTTGGGGAAATGTAAACAAAATATACAGAGGCAAATGACACATGGACAAGAAGGGGACATGCACACAGTGGGGGGGGGGGGGGGGGGGGGGGGGGGGGGGGGGGGGGGGGGGGGGGGTGGAAGGAGAAACACAAAGAAGGGATGGGGGAGGTGTACTGTGATGAAAGGAGATTAGGGAACAAACGAGTGTGGTGGGAGCGGGAAACAAAAGGGGATCGGTGGGGGGTGGGGGGTGGTAAAGGGAAGGATGCAGGGGGAACAAAGGAAACAGGTGATGAATGCAACAGGGTAAAGAGGAAGAAGGGGGGGGGGACCAAGGACAGTGTTATCAGTCTAAATTCTTTAAAAAATTACTGCAAGTGAGACTTGCGCAATCATGTCCCCTGGCAAGTTGGCAGTTTTTTATGAAGTCAGTGTCCTTAACCAAAATAGAAGATTACTATTGTTTTAGCAATACATTGTCACTGTTGCAATAGTGACAATGACCTTTGACCGGTTGGGCCAAAACCAATAGGCTTGATAAGACTACCAACAGCAACCCACAAACCAAATTTGAAGTTCCTCAGTAAAGTATTTCTCAAGTATTCGTGCCGACAATATTTCTATTGTTTTAGCAAAAGTGACTTTGACCTTTGACCTGTCGGTCCCCAAAGAATGAACAGGCTTCTTAAGACTACAAAGAGTAACTCACAAACCAAATTTGAGGTTCCTCAAATAAGTAAAGTATTTCTCAAGCATTAATACTGACAATATTTCTATTGTTTATCAATAGTGACCTTGACCTTTGACCTGTCAGCCCCAAAGCAATAGGCTTCTTAAGACTACCAAGAACAACCCACAAACCAAATTTCAAGTTCATGAGTAGAATACAATGTATTTCTCAAGTTACCATGTTGACAAGATTTCTGTTGTTTTAGCAACATAGTGACCTTGACCTTTGACCTGTCGGCCCCAAAAGCTATAGGCTTCTTAATACTACCAAGAACAACCAACAAACCAAATTTCAAGTTCCTCAGTAAAGTATTTCTTAAGTTACCACGTTGACAACATTTCTTGTTTTAGCGATAGTGACCTTGACCTTTGACCTGGCGGCCCCAAAAGCAATAGGCTTCTTTAGACTACCAAGAACAATCCACAAACCAAATTTGAAGTTCCTGAGTAAAGTATTTCTCAAGTTATCACACACACACACACGCATGTTTATGGTGTAAATCGAGGATTTTCTATTGTTCCTTTGTTTTGTTTTGCAACAGCTCTCATTGGTTTTGTTCACGTTTTCTAATTGAGGTCGTCCTCGATTTGGTTCCTGTCCTCGATTCACCGATGATGTTGCACTCGTGTGTCCTAGAATTACACCATAAACAAACGCAAGTGCATATTTGCCTGCAATCGGGGAGCCCATATTCATTATCCGACCTACCATTTGTTTTGTACACATCGCCAAATTGGGACCTTCGGGAATAGGGGACCCTATTGTCCTGTATTGTCCAACATCCCCTATTGAATGCAGAAACAAAATCACACCCACGGACACTCACCCATACACACAGGAGGAATACGCTATCGCAATGACCCCTCCGGCTTACAGCCAGGGGGGATAAAAACCACAGTATTTACAAAAACTGTCACGAATAATGATGCACATGTACTATAATAAGATAACGTTTATGGTTGTACCTTGTAACAAGTGAAGTTCCGAAAAGAGTTGACCAAATTTAATGCTCTACATTATACAATGATTGTCAGGCCAACAACTCTTCACAAATCAAGTTCTATTTTAATACAAGGAAACATATTTTCCATCAGTGGTTAGATCATCCCAAAAGTACTCAAAGGATACTCACTGTTTTCACGTTATACATAAACACTACGGTACCCTTATCTGGCCAACAAGTTTCAACTTGAGAAGGAAAAGGACCAAACTACTCATACAGCCTCAGTGTTTGATAAAACAAGTCAGGTGTGTTTACAAACACAAATGCCCCGCAACGGTGACAGTTCCCATGACATTACACCACTCTTTTAACATCAACTTACATGTACCTTGGTCACATGGAACATTCATTGACAGCATTAGTGTCTTCTGTAGGTTTTATATGAATTAATCCCTAATCCCTATAATCTCAGAATAAATACATGATTTCTATTGTTTTAGCCACTGTGAACTTGACCCTTGACCTTTTGGCCCCAAATTCAATAGGCTTCTTAGGATTACCAAGAACAATCCACAAACCAAATTTGAAGTTCATATGTTAAGTATTTCTCAAGTTATCGCGCTGACAAGATTTCTATTGTTTTAGCCACTGTGAACTTGACCCTTGACCCTTTGGCCCCAAATGCAATAGGCTTCTTAGGATTGCCAAGAACAATCCACAAACCAAATTTGAAGTTCACATGTAAAGTATTTCTCAAGTTATCGCGCTGACAAGATTTCTATTGTTTTAGCCACTGTGAACTTGACCTTAGGCCTTTTGGCCCCAAATGCAAAAGGCTTCTTAGGATTGCCAAAAACAATCCACAAACCAAATTTGAAGTTCACATGTAAAGTATTTCTCAAGTTATCGCGCTGACAAGATTTCTATTGTTTTAGCCACTGTGAACTTGACCTTTGGCCTTTTGGCCCCAAATGGAAAAGGCTTCTTAGGATTACCAAGAACAATCCACAAACCAAATTTGAAGTTCATATGTTAAGTATTTCTCAAGTTATCGCGCTGACAAGATTTGTCCGGACACACACACACACCCACCCATACTTGTTTCACATGACTAGTGTGGACTTTCCATTGCTTTCGTGTAGTTAAGAAAAACCAGTGAAAAAACTCATTTTTCTCAAACTGTGAAAACTCTTTCAACCCAATTTTTTTTCTATGATTCCCTTTAGTGTTTCTCTTCATTCTGCTACCGATAAACCTAACCCAAAAATGCCTCTAAACCTGTTTTCCAGAAATGGGGAAACACTGTGTGGACGTGGGGTAAGTCCACACAACGTCGGTGCTACCTACATTATGTGGACGTCTTTTGTTCGGAAGTCCACACTGCGTATGTAAGACAAGCTCACCCACACACCCACCCACACACCCACCCACGGAAGGACAAGGCGGAAACAGTATGCCCCTTCGGCTTCGCCGCGGGGCATAAAAAAATCAATGATGAGTACCATACATCCACTGGATTTCAAATCAGTGATGTTTTCTTGCACACGCGTACAAACTTCAAATCTTATTATTTTGTTTCCCAATTTCAAATGTTTGCAGAGGCACAATGGGCAAATTATATACACTCTATAAAGTGGCAGGTCAGATTGGACCCGAATCTGGGTCAGATTTGACCAGTGTTGTAGTCAGGTACTTTTTCCAAGTGCCAAGTACTGCCGAGTTCTTATGTTTCCGAGTACGATTACAAGTAGGAGTATTTGTACTTAAGAGTACAAGTACCTGTCTCCAAGTACGTGTACTTGTACTTCAAAGTGTTAATTATTATTCTTTTCAAGGACACCTGATTGACATTTTGTCGAAAAAACCCGAAAACTCAAAACCGTTATTGTGGCTGGGGAAAAAATACTGTTTTATGGCAAATTTAGTCAAGATCAACATATCCCAGTTTTCACAAAATCTTCGCCTAAACTTTAGTTTTTTAATATCGTCTTTTTAATAAGCTTTTTAATATCGTCTTGTAAAATATCGTCTTGTAAAATAAATGCTCCCTTTGATTGAGAATGTTAACATTTTGGATTTTGCTATGAGTAGTTATTCAAGGCAAGTGAGTTTCCACGTGAACCCTTAGCGATGGGAAGCAGGACTGTAACTTGTCCAATCCACCCAATCCCGGGTTGCCAGCAAGGTACAAGTCAGTCAGGCTTGGCATGTCACCTACCGCCGAGGTGACACGTCTAATGTCTGACGGTGTCAAGTTGCAATTGCTCAAGTACAGCCTACTTAAGTGCCTCATTTTTGGCAATTCCTTGGCCCACAACTTAGCCGATGCCCCTAATGCTTTGCTGTTATCAAGGATCAAGTCAGTCAGTCTGGGCATGTCATGTACAGCCGAGGCAATGTGTTCAATGTCTGTTGGTAACCAAGAGCAACTTTTCAGATCTAGCTTACTTAATTGTGTCATTTTCGGAAATTCCTTGGCCCAAAGCTCAGCCGATCCACCAAATAGGCAGTTGCCTGCCAGGATCAAGTCAGTCAGTCCAGGCATGTCACCCACACCCGAGGCAATGTGCTCAATGTCTGTAGGGTTCAAAACCATATCGCTTAGGTCCAGCCTATTTATGTGTGTCATTTTCGGCAAGACCTTGGCCCACAACTCAGCCAATCCTTCCACGCAAATATAGTTGTCAGCAAGGATCAGGTCAGTCAGAATTGGCATGTCAGCTACAGTCGCGGCAATGTGTTCGATGTCTGAACTTGAAAAATAGCAATCACTCAGGTCCAGCCTGTTTAAGTGCCTCATTTTCAGCAATTCCTTGGTCCACAAATCAACTGTTCCACCCAGTGTGCGGTTGCCAGCAAGGCTGAGGTCAGTCAGCTTGGGCATGTTGGCTACAGCAGAGGCAATGTGTTCAATGCTGTCCCAACCCAGTGCATGGCAAGCCAACTCAAGTCTGTTGAGGCTTGTCAAGTGTTTGATATGAGGGGCCCATTCTGCGGCACTTTCTGAATAGGCATTTATATACAGATCAGTCAAGTGTTGGTTGCCTTTCAGCGATGACAGTATCTTCCCAAGACCACCCTTCCCTAAGTAACATCTGTACAGCCTCAGACTCCTGAGGTTTTCCATGTTACCCAGGGCGAATGCTAGATCACTGACCGAAGACACAAGAGAAATAGAATTAGCTGCAAAAGTAGAAATAGAAATAGCTGTAACACATGCAAGCTGTGTCATGCAGCTGTCTGACCTGAAGGTGATTTCAAGAAGGTACATGAGACGTTGGAAATCATCATTTTTACACACCTCGATAGTTGATGGGATGAGTGAGTCGCTGGTGAGACTGAGTGGGACCTTTGCTGACTGGCTTTCAAGAAAGCAACTGCGACTAACCGCTTGTATAACACTTGACTGGTACCTGGGCTTATCTTTATTGAACTTACGATCAAGCAAGTTTACGATGTCTGTCATGCACTTCTCATTGTCACCACAACAAAAACGAAAGAGAAACTCATTCGAAACAACTCCCTCAAATGTTGAGCACAATTGACTCAAAATCCTCTGATATTTCAATTTGTTCTTCACACGCGTAAACAATCCGAGGGTTGATGAAAGGTTCAGACTCTGCAAGTACTTCGCTGCACAGTATTCCTGCACAGTCTTGTGCATGAATTGTATGATGTTAATGGATTTGCTGTTTTTGATAACTCTCTGTTGGGTCAGGATGCCCGCTTTTAGTGCCAGCTCCAGCACCTTCGGTTCAAACTCATCTTCTTGAAATGAGAATTTCTGGTTAGCACTTGTGAGTCTACGCAGTGCAATTTGTCCTATGGCAATCACTGTTTTTGATGCGTAGTGTCCAGAGAGATGTTTTCTTGTGAACATGTGATCAATTGCCTCAGTGAAGAGGCATGAAGTTGTTTTTGGGAGTTGTTTACTCTCCCTCCACAACAAACACATGAGAAAGAGCAACACAGGCGTCTTAGCAAAATAACGCAGTGTGTTCGACTTTCCGATGGCTTGGAGTAGTGCTTTGCCAATATCAGGATCTCTTTCGAAGAATTTCTGAACGAAGTCATTAAAATCCTCTTCAGTAAGCCCCAGAACCTCTACATGCGTGCAAGGATCTTGGACAAGTATTAATGACGTCAGTGTCTGAAGATGAGAAGGGCGGGTGGAGATGCATATGAGACATTCCTTGTACACTCTTCTATTGAGTGATTTTAGGATTGAACCAAATGAGGCTGCATTGAGTTTTTTGGGTTTCATTTCATCAAAACCATCCACAAGAATCAAGACCTCATTTGGGTTGGCCAGGATGAATTTATCAAGTTCATCCCTTTCTATTCCTGACTTTTCGCCAAGAAGTTGATCGAAAATGGAATCAACAAGATCAGATTCTTGCGACAGGGCACACATCTTTAAAAGAAAGACAAGCTTGAATCTCTTCAGGATTTCGCTTGACTCATCAGCCCAGTCATATGCAATCTTATCAAAAATGGTTGACTTCTCGACAATTCCCATGCCAAAGAAAATGAGGCGGTTGATCAGTTTCCCATATCTACCTGTCCTTAATCTGAATATGCTGGAATATTCCGTTGTGCTTACGATTTCCCCTCTCTGGCAAGTGTCAAGTGCTTCCCCATCCTGTGTTTCTAATTGTACTTTAGTGTAAATACCAGCTATGTCCATTACATCATTATCAACACCAGGCAACAAGTTAACCGAACTAAGGGTTGTTTTATAAACTCCCTTCAAAACATCCCTAGTCTTTTTACCAGCTTCTTGGTAAGAATCCGTCAACCTTGGATCTTGGTCTGGTCTCTGACTATGCGGAGGTGAAGGTGAAGGCACTCCTAATCAGATCAAAACAAACAAAATTTATTGCTTCAATAAAACAATGTTTATGAAATGGATTGAATTATCTTTCATACACGACTTAGAAAACATATCAAAGAAATTATGACTTGGGATTTCCGGTGAATTAGTAATGCATTGCACAAAATAAATTTTCCAAAGAGGGAAACAAATAAATGTTCAGGATTTTGTACTAAGCTTTAGGCACAAACTAGTCTAGAGCTAGATGTTGTTATGGTTTGATACGCGATAACCAGCGGTCGCGATAACCCACCACCGCGAGAGGGCGCTATCACGACCAACCAATATTGCCCATGGACTTGTCACAACAACATCTAGGAAAACTCGTATTGGTTGTGTGATGCGCGCGCACCTGTTCGGCCTAAAATATGCAGCGCGCAATTCAAAAGATTTATAGTAGTTCCGAAGCAAACTCTCAAATTTCTTCCAGTAAAAAAATAAGAGATGCAGCAAGACCTTTGTGCAACTTCACTGTTCATCTCTTCTGTTATGTGTAGCTTGTGTAGAACTTAATGGACCGTAATTGCCTGCAGAAGTCGCGCATGCGCACTAGTTTCCCCCATTTTTCGGGGGCAGATTTCAGCAGTTTCCCTAGATGTTGTTCTGACAAGTCCGTGGGCGATATTGGTTAGTTGTGATAGCGCCCTCTCGCGGTGGCGGGTTATCGCGGCCGCGGGTTATCGCGCATCAAACCATAACAACATCTAGCCCTATACTATGCACAAACTTGTCAAGTTTCGCCTCATACGATGTCATATAGAACATTTAATATTGTTACACCAACAAAAATAGATTCAGACAAAACAAATGGTAACTGCAGGTTTACAAAACAGATAATTGGACATCGTTATCCAAAGATGGACTAAGTTAACAGCAATAATCTTCTTGTGGTGATCACTTCACTCCAAATAAGTCATATCAGGTTCCTTCAATTAAGATTGGAGACAAGTTGAAGTCGATCGCATTGAACGAACCCGTAAAAAAACGGTTACCAACCATGATTCAATTTTTTTTCCAAACAGCCCATTATTCCATTCATTCATGCATCAATGCAAATTATTGTGCAATGCAGCCCCTTTCAGATGAGGTCCCCAAAGCTAGCGCTATTTGTCGTGGGTACATATAGCCACTATAAATAGCGCCCTTCTATTGTGTCCACCACATATCGAACTGGCTTATAGTTGTACGAAATAAAATTGGTGGTTCTCTAGCTCGCGGAACCGACAATCAGTCTTTTGTGTCCAAGTTACGTAGCATCTCCCCTCCCCTACCTCCGAACACAAAAAATATTACATTTACAACTGATTGGATATTATACAAATACAACGTGGGTTGTGGGGAAATAGTGACAACTAATGACCCCGAGGAGATAATCATCCAACACTGATGGATCGTTTGTTTTCACTATTTCTCTGCAAACACATGTTGTATTTGTTTTACTATACCTCATTAATATTCATTAGGCAGCTGCCATATTTCATTGGTCCATTCCACCATGTTTATTTGGATAAACTGAAACCTTATTTTAAGTTAAGACAAACAGAATGGAAAGAATAATGTAGTGTCACTTAACAGCTTTAACATTTTCACGAAACACTGGATTTATTATTATTGTCCAAAATTTCACCAAGTTCTTCCTCGATTAAAATCGCAAAGCGATCACCACCAGACGCCATTTTGATGTATGCCGTAATAGACTGGCTCAACTGTCCTCACTGGTGATCTCCAGGGTACGCACGTATAATGTAAAGCTCATGCAACATTGGTAAAAGATAGCACAGTACTGGAACAAATCTAAGGCTGCGACCCAGGTGTGTGATAGTACCTCCCTGTTTTTTGTGTGCATCATGCGTGTGTATGAAGACGCAGGGAAATAGTAAAAAATTCACACGGTTGAGTTACTGGAATGGACCAATGAAATGCCATGGTTGCCTGATGAATATATATGAGGTATAGTAAAAAAATCATCTTAAACAAGATTATATTTACCTGGTTCCTCCAACAGGAAGTTGTAAGTGACATTTACTCCACTCAAACCAGAAATGGTAGGGTTGTTGCTACCGCCGACTGCTCCGATGTTTCCGATGGTTCCAGTTCGTGGAGGGAAATCTACAATAAGAAGCAAACAGTCAAATGTCCTTTAAAAATGCTGCAAGTGACACTTACATGTACATGTACGCAACCCCAGTGGCTTGCTGGCAGTCTTTATAAAGTCAGTTAGCTACGAAACTTGTCATTGTCCCTAACCAAAATGGAAGATTTCTATTGTTTTAGCAAAAGTGACCTTGACCTTTGACCTGTCTGCCCCAAAAGTTATCGCGTTGATAAGATTCCTTTTGTTTAAGCAATAGTGAACTTGACCTTTGACCTGTTGGCCCCAAAGCAATAGGCTTCTTTGGACTATCAAGAACAAACCACAAACGAAGGACTTTCAAGTAAATTGTTTCTCAAGTTATCGTGCTGACAGGACAAGAGTTAACCTAACCAAAACACAACACACAGACACATAGACATACATGTACAGTCGTACTCACACCGTCGATTGTGGACATCCTATTGTCCATCTTTTGTTTGTACCCTAACTTTTTTGAAAGACGGCCATATGTTTTGTATGCGACCCAAATCGCGGATGTACATGTATGCTGGGAATCGTGGACGATATTGTTCTCTTTTGTTCACTGGCATTTTTCGTCCACACTTTGTATGCCTGAACGCGTGTTGAACGCGTCGTAAGTTCCTTGACAACGGCCTAAAACACGTCGCAAGTTACGACGTGTCTAGTGGTCATCGCAAAATGAAAAGAGTCATTTCTAAGCCAGTTTTATGCCATAAACATTACATTAACGAGATTATAATACTGAGGCAATGTGTGTAAAGTTGTAAATAGAAAAGTCATTGAATAATTATGAATTAGACCGGAATATTAGAGTTGAAATTTCAAAGTAGCTATACAGTCCAAAGAGAGATTGTTTTCCTTCAAAATTGCATGGCACGGCCGCCATTTTGTTTTACGTTTTAACAAATTTCGAGCTGAGATCCGACGACTCTTTGTTGAATATAAGACGACTATTTACTGTACGCTGACTAAATACATAAAACAGTCACTGAGTTGTGCTACAAAATACACATACAACGCGTCGCACTTACGATATGTTTTGTGAAATGGATCGCAGGACGCATCGCAGCTGCGACGCATCGTAGAGATACAACGCATCGCATCGCTGCGATGCATCTTAAGTTTGATGAAATCGGGTGCTGAACACACCCAGACATACACACAGGAGGAATACGTTATTGCAATATCCCGCTCCAGCTTACAGCCAGGGGATAAAAACGGCCCGAACAAAATGATGTGTACTTGATTCCAACTCTACTTGTCGTCTGTACTAGAAAAACATTGTCTTTAAAAGAAGATACAAGTTTATATATTTTTTTATCTGACCATTCATAGAAAACGAAGTTAATGAAAAACTAGGCTATGACTAAACAAATCTTCGGGTCAGATGGGGGAGGGGGAGGGTGGTAAATGCCCCTTCACTCCCCAGTAAGGTTATAAATTGATTGAACTCCAAACAACTTGCTACAACGTACTCACCTGTTGTAGCTGAGCATGCTGAGGGGGCATGAGCCTCCTGTTGCATCGTGGTAGGGACATCAGTCCGTTGCCAGGCTGCTTCAGATTGTTGCATCGTGGTAGGGACATCAGTCCGTTGCCAGGCTGCTTCAGATGGTTGCATCGTGGTAGGGACATCAGTCCATTGGCAGGCTACTTCAGATTGTTGCATCGTGGTAGGGACATCAGTCCGTTGGTAGGCTGCTTCAGATGGTTGCATCGTGGTAGGGACATCAGTCCGTTGGTAGGCTGCTTCAGATGGTTGCATCGTGGTAGGGACATCAGTCCGTTGGTAGGCTGCTTCAGATGGTTGCATCGTGGTAGGGACATCAGTCCGTTGCCAGGCTGCTTCAGATTGTTGCATCGTGGTAGGGACATCAGTCCGTTGCCAGGCTGCTTCAGATGGTTGCATCGTGGTAGGGACATCAGTCCATTGGCAGGCTACTTCAGATTGTTGCATCGTGGTAGGGACATCAGTCCGTTGCCAGGCTGCTTCAGATTGTTGCATCGTGGTAGGGACATCAGTCCGTTGGTAGGCTGCTTCAGATTGTTGCATCGTACGTGGTAGGGACATCAGTCCGTTGCCAGGCTGCTTCAGATGGTTGCATCGTGGTAGGGACATCAGTCCGTTGGCAGGCTACTTCAGATTGTGCATCCATGGTACTTTGGATCACCAGGCCACTAACCGAAGTCCTGTATGTTTGTCAATGATAATGAATGAAAAGCTGTGTCATCTTTTCATTTTTTTTTCATGCGTAATAAATCAAAGAAATCTGTGGTACAAACTACATAGCAAGATAACAAATTCGATAAATACATGTATGTCACAAAAAATGTAATAAAAACTCTGTCCCAAACCAACTCGGTTCGAGTCACCTCAATCTCAAGACAACTCGGTCCCAGGTCAACTCGGTCCCAAGTCATCAACTCCTTCCCTACGGAAAAATCCGCAGAGCCCCCATTTGCATATCCCCGGGAAATAGTGCTCCCGGGAGTTACCAAATGGGTGTAGTGTGAACGGTTGCTGGGGTGGCGGTGCGGATAAAATCTCCCGGGTTTTTGTAAATTGTATTTTTTTCAGTTACATGTACATACAGTGTATATATGTAGCCAAAAGCATGAAAAGGCTGTTTACAATCTCTTAGTCAATGGATATAGCGAGGCATCATGGGTCCCAACAGGGAAAAACTGCAATAGGACGTTTGCGATATGTGCCCCCATGATATTCTGATGCCCCCTGTGCCCCCACTAAAAAATACCATATACATGATATACCACAGTAACAGGGCCCCTGTTTTGTTTTGATCAAATTAGAGTCAAAAATGTTTGTTATTGCTCAAAAATCACCTTTACAATCAAAAGCAGATTGTTTTCTCAATTCTAATGACACCCGTTTTGCAATTTTGAACAGTTTCTTGAGGTAGAAATCACAATTTTCCTGTGCGGTTTGTGCCTTGCGATTTAGCGCGCCGTGCGTGCTCACAGAACATTGTGCGGTGATCGCCATCTTTATTTTTGGGTTGCGTGTTGTCGCCGCGCTGTCATCGTCATTTTTATTTACCCCCGAATTTCCCTCAAAAATTCAAAACCCTGCCCTCTATCTATGACATAGGCCCCCTAGCTGTTTATTGAGAATGCCGCCAACTATTAATTGGTCGGCTAATATTATTTTAAAGTGGGTATTGTTCCCTTTAGGAACCGGGCCCTATACACGATCGCCGTTATTAATATCATGGTTATGGTTCTACAATTTACAAAACACTAAGTTACTCACTTAACTTAAGTACAAAAATGTCCATCAAAACACAGCCATTTCCTAGCTTGAGTAACTGACTAACTCCAGCCTAGCCCCATAAATGTGGCCTATTTACTGGACTGCCTCCGTAAACATAGGCCACACATCCACATGTACAAAAATCGTGTCGACGGAGCCAAATTTTGATTTTCACATTTAGGCTTAGTTTGTAGGTTTTTTTTGCTTTAGAAGCATACTCACCCTCTTTATAGGCTAATCAGAAAGTGCTGCCTTTTTCAGATGTATATTTTTCGTGAAATTTCCAGATTCATTTTTACACGTTTGCGTATCAAAATTTCAACATGAAATTACACAAAAATTAGACATCTGAAAAAGGCAGCACTTTCTGATTAGCCTGTAAAGAGGGTGAGTATGCTTCTAAAGCAAAAAAAACCTACAAACTAAGCCTAAATGTGAAAATCAAAATTTGGCTCCGTCGACACGATTTTTGTACATGTGGATGTGTGGCCTATGTTTACGGAGGCAGTCCAGTAAATAGGCCACATTGGAGCAACTATAGAATGCAGGGCCACGCCGAAGCAAGGTTTTTTATTTTGCCTGGAGGCGTGGATGGAATAGGAGTAATAGATATGCAAACCTGCAAAAAAGTGCTAAGTACAGCGAAGGAATGCACTGCACTGCTTGTATATGTTTTGGGGGCACTGTCTGGAGCGGCGGAGGCGCGGAGTCTTGGAGTCGCAGAATCGCGGAGACGCGGGGCACTGGAGTGGCCGCAGTGGCGGAGGCGCGGAGTCGCAGAGACTCGCGCCGATAGAGGGCGCAATTCTCGGCGGAATTTTTTTGAGAACGAAGCATCCATATCCATTTTAAATGGGCGCGCAAATTAGGAAGGGAGGAGGGCGACGGGGCACTGTCTGGAGCGGCGGAGGCGCGGAGTCTTGGAGTCGCAGAATCGCTTTAAATGGGCGGGCCAATTAGGAAGGGAGGAGGGCGACGGGGCACTGTCTGGAGCGGCGGAGGCGCGGAGTCTTGGAGTCGCAGAATCGCGGGGCACTATACACTGGAGTGCTAGTGGCGGAGGCGCGGAGTCGCGGAGTCGCAGAGACGCGCACCGATAGAGGGCGCAATTCTCTGCGTGACGCGGGGCACTATACACTGGTGGCGGAGGCGCGGAGTCGCGGAGTCGCAGAGACACGCACCGATAGAGGGCGCAATTCTCTGCGTGACGCGGGGCACTATACACTGGTGGCGGAGGCGCGGAGTTGCGGAGTCGGAGAGACACGCACCGATAGAGGGCGCAATTCTCTGCGGCTCCACGACTCCACGATCGATTTTCGGAGGTAGGTCGACTGCGGTTCCACGCCTCCACGCAGCCGTACGGAGGCGCGGATGTAGAGTAAAGTGGCCCTGCATTCTATAGTTGTACCGCCACATTTATGGGGCTAACTCCAGCCATGCTCCAGCTGACATGTCAGCTGGAGTTACTCACAGTTACTGCACAGTTTGCCCCTCAACTCCGCACTAATTCTTGACATACTTACGTATAATGCACCCAACAAAAATGGGTGGATTATGTCATGTTTTTGCCAAAATGATGAAAAAAATATGACTTTTCCGCACTGGGCCAACCTGAGTGACAGTGACACTTGAAACGCGCACGCAGATACGTGTAGTGGCATCGACAATAATTATGTAGTAGCCTCTGCGGTATTCTGGTTGCCAGACCAAAAGATTCCGACTATATGAATCGGCAAAAGCTCAACCTCGTCCAAAGGGTGCCGAGCAGTACGCGCCCGCCACTACCTGCTCTCTCGGGGCCGGGTCGGAAATTTACGTCCGCTCATGTAAGTCGGACGCCTCGATGCTTACAATTTCTTTATTCTGCCTTATAGGTCCGACGCCTCATAAGTTCGACGCCTCATACGTCCAAAACAGCGTTTGTCCATTGTCGGATTTATGAGATGGACGGACTTATGAGGCGTCCGGTCGGACCCGAGAAGTCGGACTTATATGATACGGCCCCGCTCTCTCACCCAGCTCAGGCACGTGTGCAAAAATGTTGAACACGTATGCAAATGAGGTATATTCTGGCGCCTGTTTTTGCGGTGTCTGTGGTACGGTAAAAACAGCTTCAATTCGTCGCGCCGTGAGTTTATTACGAAAACACACTTGTTTTCGAAGTTAAAATCGTTCGTTCGTGTCTCCTCCATAGATCATATAATGTCCCTCCATCTCTGGATGCTTGTGATGGCCGTCTCAGTGACAAGGGTCAGGTCAGTCCTCGTCCATGCAGTTTATTCCGCCGCACTCCAGAACATGATCCATCGTTTGGATCTGTCCGCAGTCACAGAGGGTATCTTCTTTATCGGTATACCCCCATCTTGCCGTGTTGGCCCTGCACCGCCCCATTCTGGTCCGCAGCCGGTTCAGACATTGCCACTCTGGCCACTTCAAGTTGAGTCCTCTGATGGGTAGAGGCTTGACTGGTGGTTGGGGACTCTGCTCAGGTGGTGGGACAGCTAGAATCCAGAAAGCTGTTACAATGTTATCTGCCAATCATATTAATGTGAGCAAATAGGAAAGGGAAGGAGTATTTTTAAGAAGGCGCGTGGACGTTTTAATTACAATATTTGTGAAAACACGTCATGCACGTTGGAAATAGCAACACCAAGTACACGATATAAATCCATTACTAGCAAATTGCGGTATCGAATCAGGATATGGGAAGAACTTAGTTTCCTATCCAGGGCTTACTATATCAGCTTACTAATACCAGGGTGAGAGAGCAGGTAGTGATGGGCACGTACTGTTCGACACGCTGAGGACGAGGTTGTGGGAAGGGTTGATGAATTCACGCTCTGATTGGATAGATTTTGCGTGACCTGTGACCGGCAAGTCGTCACGGCCACGACGTACACGGCAAGGGTTTTTAAACGGCTGATTTTAAGACTGATCCATTCAACACTTTTTTATTCCCATTCAAAAAAATGTCCCTTTTTTGTTGAAAAGCGCAATAATGTAGGAAAATCTGTACCTTTTGGGTAATCCTGCGGGAGCTTTTTGGGTGTTGTTTTCTGTTATGTTTTCTGTTATGTTTACTTCTCAGTATTATTTGTACTGACATGTAACTGTTTTGTCTGTAATTCACTGTTTGTAATATCCCGGAAAATGAAATAAATAAATAAATAAATAAACCTCTGTGTTGTAAATTTGCAATTCCCGTCACTTGCTCAGGCTCCGCGTTTCGCATTCACGAACGGTCAATGATTGCATGCATTATGCGACGCTCAAAATCTGTCCACACGGTCCGCAATGAAAAAGAAATCACATCCGGTGTC